GTATGGTATGGTATGGTATGGTATGGTATGGTATGGTATGGTATAGTATGGTATGGTATGGTACAGAATGGCATGGTATGGCATAGTTTGATGTGTTATGCCACAATACGACATGTGTTCCAACACTATCGAATTTGATACTATGGAACTACTTTGACAAACGACTTCCAATTTTACATCTTGCAAGATAAAAGTTAAGTGTTTGTATAAGCTGTCAAAAAATAATAATAAACAACAACAGCAACAGCAACAACAGCAAAACAATCTTGAAAATAGCATCAAGTGTACGTACCCGTGAGAGTCATCCCTGGAGGCATGAGGCGTGCAGGAGGAGATAGAGAAAGATAGATGAATGGAGGAACGAACAGGTAATAATGTAACACAATACAATCGTTCAGCAGTCTTCAAGTTTTGTCAGTAATACGTCATGTAATTTAAAGAGAGAAAAAAAAGTCTAGATACAGTGGACCTACAGGACCGTCGGATCATCTTCGGATTAAACGTGTTTTCGGTTTAGAGAGGCTGAAAATGACAATATTTATTCATCTTGCTGAGAGAAATTTGTCTTGGTCGTTTACAATGTTAAAAATGTTAGGTGCACTCACACATACACACAAGACAGGACATTTTATTAGTTAATACAATGCCTCACATTGCTCAAATAGGAGGGGGAGGGGGGGAATCGGGCATTTTATCGATCTTCTCTCTGTTCACCGCTGTTTTCTGATAAACCACTTTTAGCGTACGTATCCCTATTTACTTGCTGTCAAAGAGACTTTAAGTTAAAGTATTTAATAGCACACGCCTGGGACTGCTGCTTTGGTGCACAAAGAGCAAACTCCAGACAACGAACCTTTTAAAACGCATGCAGTAAGCTTTATATTCAAATAATATACCTGAAATTGGCGATTTGGTATGGTTTAGACCACACAGATAACAGAGAACCATAAATAATAAGTAAATGACCAAAAAAGAGTGTATAAACATGCCACATGTGACCAAGAAAAAGAACAAAGTTAGTTGAAAGCTAGAACACACGATCATGCTCTTCTGACCGGGTGTGTAGTTTACATCAATGGGCTGAGTTCATACACAGTACACGATTAAAATTTGTGAAGGGCAAGATAGAATTAAAGCGCACTATCAAATAAAACTACAGTCATAACGATGTGTCCAGTAATACAAATTGTTTTATTTCTTAAACAAAAGAAATAAAGAAGAAGCTTTGTCACATCATTAGTACACATTCCAAATAGACCGCCTCATGTTCTTCTCATACATGTTTGTATACTGACCTGACCACTTAATGTGCTCTCGTCTTTACGTTCTTTTACTATCTCTGACCGTCTTGGGTTCTAGCGCATGACGAACTAGCCCGGACGCCAGACACATCGTATGACCCCAATTACAGGTAAGATGTCTTAGCCTCAGCATCTAACTAACAATACATATATTATAGAAAGACGCTATCTGATCCAACATTGCCCCGGACCACCCTCCCCCAACATTCCCACTTTCTGCACTCTCCCCCAATTTCCCCACCTCCCCTCACTACCCCCTCTAACCTTTCACCCCCCCCCCCCCCTAAAAATTAGAAACACTCCTGTAGTTTCACCTAGTTTGAGCGTTGACTCACCCTATCAATGGCGGTGGTTCAGGCAGCTCCTTGTCAAAGCCATCTTTGCCCACCAACCAGTAGGTGTTCAGTTTACCCTTGCCCTGCGGTACACATAAA